AAAAAATAATAAAAAATGACACATAAGCGAGTTAACGATCGAAATTAACAGAAGGACTAACGGAGTGCATTTTGTATAGTTGAGGGATCAAAAAAATGCAAAAAATTGTTGAAGGACCAAAAATGTGCATTTCGTAAAGTTAAGGGACCAAATTTAGCATTTAACCTTATTTTTTTATATTTGATTAGTACATTAAATTTTAATTAACCTGAAACTAAATTATATCAGATTTTATTTAAAAAAGTTTTTTTTGTGTTTATTATTTTATTTATAAAATTTAAAATTAAAATTTTATTTTAAAAAAATTATAGATAAAAAACAAGTTCTCTCATGTTACTCCAGCAAACTCTGATCAAAATTAATTGCCCTATCCTTATTTATTTCGCAGTCCTGACCTTTCTTCTCTGCCCATCTCTTCCTTTACAAACACTCTGCAGCATCTCTTCTCCTTCACCCTTTCTCTCTCTCCATTAAGTTTCTACATCCCTTGTGCTATATAAAGAGTGAAGAACTGCTTCTTTCTTTGTTGATAATCTCCAAAAAATGGGTCGATCACCCTGCTGCGACAAAGTTGGGTTGAAGAAAGGTCCATGGACACCAGAAGAAGATCAGAAACTATTGGCCTACATTGAAGAACATGGCCATGGAAGCTGGCGTGCCTTGCCGTTAAAAGCAGGTGAATAACCCCACATTTTTACTCTGTTTTCAGTCCTCGAAATGTTTTTATCTCATTGGTTTTTATGAACTTTCAGGTCTTCAAAGATGTGGAAAGAGCTGCAGGCTTAGATGGACCAACTACCTCAGGCCTGATATTAAGAGAGGAAAATTCAGTCAGCAAGAAGAGCAAACCATCATCCAACTCCATGCCCTTCTAGGGAACAGGTATAATACAATTAACTCATCATTAAAAGGTTTTCCTTTTTCTTTTTCTTTTTTCCTTTTTCTTTCTTTCTTTCTTTCTTTCTTTCTTTCTTTCTTTCTTTCTTTTTTTTTTTTTTTGAATCTGGGGTTTTCAAATCCAACCCAAAATTCAGTGATCATAGATTCAAGACTTCCCAATATCCACTATAAATTTTAGATTCTGATGAATTCATGAGTTCAAATTTTCTTGACCGATGAAAAAAATTCAAAGCTCTGTTTCTTGTTCTGGGTGGCATGTGTTTCTTTGGTGTAATGGCGGCATGCAATTACTCCAAACAGCTCTGACCTATTATACTTACACTGGTTGTCATTTTGGCCTGTATATTGAAATATGGTCTCTGCCCTAGTGCAATAATTTTTTGTTTCCTGACAATACTTATTCGGTATCTTTAATGCAGAAGGATAGATATCTTGAAAAATATTGCTCATCCACTTGACCAAGAAAATGGTTTTCTTTTCTTTTTTCTTTTCTTGTCCATTTCAATCCACTAAGATTGCTACTGCTTTCTTATCTTCAGACAGCTAAAAAAAACATCACAAAAATGCTGATAGTATCTAACTTTCCTATGGTTAATTTGTTTATGTTCTTAAGTGTCTGTGTCTGGTATGTGTTTTTTGGTTTTTGGTCTGGTTTTTCAGGTGGTCGGCTATAGCTACTCACTTACCCAAAAGAACAGATAATGAGATCAAGAATTACTGGAATACTCATCTTAAGAAAAGGTTAGCTAAAATGGGGATAGATCCAATCACCCACAAGCCTAAAAGTGACGCTTTGATCTCTATCAACGGTCAGTCCAAGAGCGCAGCCAATCTCAATCACATGGCTCAGTGGGAGAGTGCCCGGCTCGAAGCGGAAGCTAGGTTGGTCCGAGAATCGAAGCTCCGTTCAAGCTCATTTCAACAAGACCCAGCTGGGTTTTGTCCTTCAGGTTTGGCTTCCGGTTCGGCTCCAGGCGTCAGTAAAACTGCTGCTTGGATTATTGGCGGTTGGACAAAATCCAACGAAGGCCACAGTGCGGGCATTTTGAATGCAGGATATAATGGCGATCTTGAATCCCCAACGTCAACACTCACTTTTTCTGAGAATGTACCGCCAGTAATGTGTAGTACAGGGCTCGGACTCAGCTCGATGCCTATCATGGAGTTCGCTGGGAGTACTTTAGGTTCATCGGAGACTGGAGTGGTCAAAGAAGAACGCAATTCGACCCATCTGCCGAGCTACAAAGAGGCTGTAGAGAACTCTTTGTCTTTAACGACCAATCTTCATCGAGGCATGTCCTTGTCCATGGAAACTGCTTGGACTTCGGAGTCTTTAAGAGCGAGAAATGCTGATGTTAATAATGCTATCGGTAATGTGATAGAGGAAGGCTTCACTAATCTTCTCCTCAGTGAATCCTTGGACCGAAGTAATTTGCTCGACAGCGGCGAGGAATCTAAAAACAGCGGTGGCGGCAGCCTCAGTGGCAACAGTGATGGAGGTAACCGCGACAGTGGCAGTGACTATTTCCAAGATAACAAGAATTATTGGAATAATATTTTGAATTTGGTGAACTCTTCCCCTTCCGATTCACCAATGTTCTATGAATAAGAGCCTTTTCATTATTAGAAGAGATCCTTCACAAAGTCACTCATATGCTCCGAACAAATTACAACTTTTTGCTATTTTTGTAAAATACAAAACGTTCATGTATAGCTTAATAAATTATTATAAGTTAAATCAATAATTTATGGTTTATTATTAACTTTTATGTATACCAGTATTTTCAGAATAATTATCTACTTTTCTTAGAGTATATTTGGGTTTGGGGAACGAAGGAGAAGGAAAAAAATTCCTCTTTTCGGTGATTGAAATAATTGGAAGGGAGGGGAGGGGAAAGAAGTCTTTTACATTATTTTTCCTTTTAATTTATTTACTTATTCAAATGAGGAGAATGGTATTTTTCCTTTTAATTTATTTACTTATTCAAATGAGGAGAATGAAAGAATAAAACTCTACTCTTCTTCATTCCTCTCAACTCAAATATATTGTTAATTTCTTCATACCCTTGCAAAGATGTTTAAGTCTAAGGATTTTTTTGGACAATGATTGGTAGATATTTTGATTTAATATATT